CGCAGCTTGCAACGGGGGCGGGGGATGCGGGGGCGGCGATTGCGAGCGTGGGTTTGCTTCCCCGGGCTGTGGGAATGGAGCCGAGCTTCCCGTGACAGCCTCAGGTCTTCGGGAGATGGATCCTGGCAGGCCTTTCCGGGCCGTTCTGCGGCTGCTTGGCGTTTCTAGGGGAGGGGGCTTGGATTTTCAGTGCCGCAAGGGTCTTGACGCTGGGGTTGGGGGTCTCAGGATTGACTCGGGTTTTGCAAGAGTTGAGTTAGCCTTGTTTCAGTCGGGGACGGCTGGGCGATCATCATTCTGGCCCCGGGAGTGGCGTGAAGAATGAATGCCACGGATTTGTCAGGGGGCTGAATCTTGCCAAGCCTTTGCCAAAAGAAACATGAGGGTCTTGGAGATGTCTGAAGATGATCTTCCCAGTTTTGCTGCCAGAGAAAAAGGGATCTGGCCCTCTGCTGTTTTGGTCTGCTGGAATAGGTTGGGGAATATTTCAGGTAACTCTGGAATTATGGCCTGCGGCATCAGAACCAACAGAATTCCCTACAGGGAAGGCCAAAGTACAGAATGAAATGAATCCGTTAAAGCTGTGAAATGGTGAACCGATCATTTGAACAGACCCAATCATTTTCAATAATGAATTAATGAAAGAAATCCTGGCGATTAAATAGAGTGAGCAGATATGTGTCCTGCTAGGAGACAGCCCATAGCTGTCTTTGACTTAGCTTGAAAAGCTTAAACAGGGTCCAATCTGGTTAGTAGCTTGGATGGGAGACCACTAGGTAATCTGAGACTGGGAGGTTTAAAAAAAACCACTAGCAAGCCACTTTTGTATCAAGAAAACTCCATAGGCACCTTCATGTAGTTACCAGGTTAAGCTTCAGAGAGATTTTGTCTTTTTGTTAAGGGGATCGACAGTCTATTTTAAAAGTCTATTTCTAACTTGAGACCAGCTGCGATAGGAACGAGGACTAGCGAAAAGCAGAGATTTGTGGCTAGTTCAAAATCTGCCAGAGTGTGCCAGTTTAAATAATGAATGGGAAGGAAGAAAGACCTGTAAATTCTGGTGGTTGTGCACTCAGGGGTATAAAGGCCACTTGACCGTGCCTGCAAGGTCTCGCTTCCCGCTTTGCACGTGACCTGATGGTGTCTTGCCTTGCAGTCCACATCCAAACTTCTCGGGCCCTCATGGTGATCTCCATCCTCCTGGGCTTTGTGGGGACGATCATTAGTGTGATCGGCATGAAGTGTACCAAAGTGGGGGAGGAGAATCCAGTGGCCAAAAGTTGGATTGCGGTTTTGGGAGGTGTCATCTTCGTTCTAGCTGGTAAGCAAAATTTTGAAAACACTTTTTAAAAACCTGGTCTGAAAGTTACTTGGAGGAATGGAAGGGGGGAAGGGGAGGGGA